GATCTCGGACAAGGTGCATTCAACTAGGTCGCCCTGAAAACACGATTTAGTTGCAAAGACTGGATCAGACAACTTTCACAATTATTTATGTTTAAAAGGTTATTCCAAGAGCTCTTTAACGAAATATCTCTGAGTATAAGATAATACAGTTCTATATATTATGGACGCGAACTTGTGAAGTTATCTCATTAATACACCGTTACAATACAAATTTTACTTACCATTCATCCTAGCATTTGGTTTTATTGCCATTATTACTTTGACCCAAACTTTATAAGCAGTATTAATATTCCGAAATTACGAAACTTAAAAGTTAATAAACTAGAGATATTATTCAATTGGAAGCGAAGAAAACTATATCTATATTGGAGTACCTTTCGTATCGTTTGAAGAAGCAAGTGGAAGGTATTTGTAAGTTGACGGCATCAGAAGCTGTAGGAGGATTGCCTTTGAGTTGTGATTGTAGATTTGTGGAAATAGATCCTGTGCACACCATCCTGCGACCCCGACGATTTTTCGCTGGACTTTCGTCCGCCATATGACGGACGCCATGCTTCATTTGCAGCCACTTCAATTTGCAACAGCATGTAGGCAAAGCATAGGATCTCCAACTAAATCACGAGAAATCTCAAAAAGTTGACCTAGCCAAACTATAAGAGCAAGTAGTATTGCAGCCAGCATGGTGTCCTACTCTGACAATATTCATCACATGACGGGTACCTTCCGGCAAAGTCAACTTATGAATCCCTTCCACTCGTCTCTTCAAAGGAAATGAAAGGCACTCTAACATGAATTAATTGAAAGAATTTTAGAAAACCAGTGCTTCTGTATATATATATATATAAAGCCGAAAATATAAAAACCACTAAATAACACCAATTAGAATAATAAAGCCCACAAGCGGAAATTTTTGTGCGAACCCGCATTTGCTATAACTTGGTCCCAATCATCAGGTACCTGCAGATCTACTGGCCTGCCCGGCGATTAACGCAGGTGACCGTGCCAGGCCTAGGTTTGGCGTCATCTCAAGGCCTGAAGCTGAGGCCTCTGATACGTAACCAAGAGAAAGGGCACCATTAATATCGATGTCTGGCTCGACCATTTGAGCCTCACTGGCTGATTCAACCACCTGTTCCATAGCAGTGAGGGCGGAAAGAACGGCTTCTGGCATGTAGTCGGCAGTCGGACCAAACACAGTAGTCACAGAGTCGATCATCACTTCAACCACCTTGGTCTGTGATTTATTATCCATAAACTCCATCATGTTAGCGACCTGAAATCTGTGCAAAAAATACTTCTGATATATATATAGAGGCGAGTATGTAAAAGAGATTTGATTACGCTAGCCAAGGTGTGAAAATCAACATATCCCGTAGAAATGTGAATATGTGTTGTGAAAACAGATTAAAACTGTATGTTAGTCCACAGTAAAATAAAATAATGACCAAAGTCAAAGTCAAATTATTAAAAGCTATTTATAACGCATTGTCTTCTCCTATAAGAACTCTTTACCATTGTTTATGTAAAATTGCTTGTTCAAAATTCATTTAGATATATTTGATAGATAGCTACGGCTCTCAAATACTACTACTTTAAGTAATATCCTGAGATTATAATGTCGTTTTCATGTCGTAATGATAAGATTATAAGTACGACCTAGTCTATATAATAAGTAGCTTTTTCTCTGTTTAAGCTTTGCATTACCCAGCGCTTTATACAATATTCGAAATGTAGGCGAGCTAACATTGAAACAATCGGATTACCACTAACTATATGCATTTGCCAAGTATTGATAATACTGTTTAATGATCCTTCGCAACTTTATTGAGTTGAATTTTCTGGATGATCGCATAGATACTTTAGTCCCAAAACTGCAGCACATTCGGAAGTACGCCACACATACTCTTCTATTACCTGTATTACTGAATTTGCATCGACAGATTGACTAGAATCCTTAAATAATTATATAACCTAATATACACTCATGCTAGAAAATAGACGTTTTTATATAGAAGTACTTCAATCCATGTATGCTACGGTGTTACTTAAAATTATCAAAACAAGTTATTAAACGAGATTAAGCTCTTATCAAGCATTCATATGCCAGATGCTACAACTATCTCAAAATTGATTTTTACACTAACTTCTCCTAGGTTGTCTCCATATCTTACTGGCAATCCAGGTATTTGCATCTGGCAAAGCTATATATTCTCAGCACTTTTGATACATTCGTAACTTTGTTTATTTTGGAAATGAACAAGTTAAGTTATCGGCAAGTTGCATTAAAACGCACGCATTTTATATTAAAAGCGCATATGCTTCTCGCGAAATCTTTAGGTTATCCATCATTCTTTATATATATATATATAGTCTTGGTTGATAGTTTAAGGCATTCTTAACACATTCATTGCCCGGATCCAAGGCGATATCTGATCTGTAGTCAAGATCAAAAAGCATTAAAAAATACAAAAAAATTAACTCTCAGATAACAAAGTGTTATGGGTTATCTGAGGCAGCTGAACTAAAAATAAATTGGGAATGATGCATTTCATTTAGTAATTTCCTCTGACCCTATAATTCATGTGGGTCGACTTTAAAAATAAAATCAATTTGTCAAATATGCATTAGATACCATTGTACCAATGGTTCTCAATAATTAGCTGGCATAAACTCAATAAATATAGTTAAGGTAAAGCCGATTTTAGAATATTATATCCAAAAAATATAAACAAGGAATGCTCATTGTAGCAATCCTACAATACTGATGCTATAAAAATATATTAAAAGGTTGAATCAGGTCCTAAGCCAAGTTAAACTGAAAAGACCTTAGAAGATACCTATTCTAAAGTAATATGCGGATAACAAAAAATCTTTGATGTCTAGTCAATACACTACGATTTCTAATATTTTGCAATTTGGTAGACACACGCAGTGTAGGCTTGAAGAAACATCATTAAGAATCTCGTAACTAAGATAATATAGAAGTAACTAACTTAATCAACTTAGGATATCATAATAGATTATAACATTATTAGAATTAAAGGAAAATCGTCGTAGAAAACAAATCAATCAACATCATTATTATAAGGATATCGATTAAAGAATAAAAACAAAGAAATCATAGGAAAGAATATAAGGCTGAAGATCTTGAAAAGTTTCACTGTGTTGACTCTATCCAAATAAAATTTGGTAATGAGGTTAAGAGCAACAGGGAGAATGAAATGAGAGCATTTAGTATGATATATAGCGCCGATTGATTTATATTCGCGTATTCTATCCAACTTACTTAGGACGAGGTCGAAGAACTGTTGGGCCAAACATAGTGCCTAGGTTAATGGCACCCATTTGATTCTCACTTTGTTGTTCAGCAACCCTGAATTTTGACCAAACAATGGAAGAATAAAGTAAAAAATACTAATGCAAGTAAAACATGTTATGCGAAAGTAGAATCTTGCCAAAAAATAACTTTTAAATTTTCTAATGTAGATATCAGGATAGTGACATCGTTAGTATTTTAATAATCTCCTGGTAAGAAGTCCGGTCGAAAAAGATTTAATAATATTAGAAACCTCGCTATTCAGTACGACAAGTACTCGCAACGAATTCAACGAATTGCTTACCATATTCCAAAGTTTAGTTAACAAGTCTTTTAAGAATAAAAATCATAAAAGGCACCGATGCACGACTATGTAGAGTGGAAAGAAAACAGGATTACTATAAAAACATTGTTTAAAGTAACCAAGTAAATGGGATTGAGTTACAAAAGTAAGTAAGAAGTTTATGTATATTTTGTATAAGTTTCGATGCTACCAGTAGATAATGAATAAGAACCTAGGATAAATTATAGTTCACATAAGGCGCAGAAGGATTAATAATTTAATTTTCCCACAATAGTATTATTATGCTGTATGATGCCATCGAATTTAAATAGGTCTTGCCGCACAAGAGGTACTCTCATCCTGAGTGAACTGCAATATCAACTTCGGTTGGTTATCATTTGTACCTCAAAGATACTCGAACAAGAGTGGTGAGGTACAAATATTTTAAACACGTTACCAATTTGTCATATTGTCAAGGGTGCCAGTAAGGCAGTATAAGCCAGGCTAAAGCTACATTTAATTTATATTCAGATAGTCTATTTTGCATTGGAATTTAAGTGAGAAAGGCTCTTTTTGAAAGAATTTATATAATCTTACTTTACTTTCCTTAGGTTCTGGTTGGAACCAGGAAAGTTCGAAACTGCCGTCAACCTTAAATAAGAATGTCTTTTGGAAGGCAAGGCAGAATGAAATTCATTGACATTGTGAGGTATGTCCATATGAATTTGGGAAACTTTACCTATAAAACCAAAATACTGAACCTCAACTAGAAAATAAAGTAAATTAGGATTTATCATACAGTACTAAGTTTAAAGACTAAATTTTAAAAATCCCTTGAGTTGCTCATATTTTGAGGCCTGCTGAGCATTTGGCTGGTATTAATGAAATAAATAAAGAGAAAAATTTCAAAAATTATAACTCTAGCATTTAGACTACGCGAAAAATAATAACTTCGACCATATAATAGAAACTCCTGCTTCGTGTAAATGGAAGTTATTACCATAAAGCAAAACTAGCGAAGGACTCATTAAAGCAGTAAACTAACAACATTCTAATAGTGAAGAAAAAAAAGTTTTAACTGTGAATATCCATCAAAATCATCAGTAATTCCGGATTATGAACCTTAGTCACCCTGAGTTGCTTAAGGTGATAGCAAAATTTCCAAGAAAAGTGAGAGGGTCTTACCACGGTATGTAAAGTAACTTAGTTTTTTTCCCAAAAACATTTTTCACCTTTAGGGTGTACTGTGAGTTAAAACATGTATGGACGACTTCAGCAACCCGTTCATTGTTGTAGTCTTTTGAGAATTCTGAAGAGATGGGCGGGGTTGAGTCTGTAGTCAGCTCTTGAGGAGAAAAATCCTTTTGAGAGAGAGTATTAACTGAACATCAAGAATTTACTCACAAATTGATGATGAGTTGTCAAAAGTGCTCAAATGAGGATGCTTTGTGGAGTTAAATTATCAATTAATAGAAGCTAACTCATGAGTAGTTGTTTTTTAGTAGCAATAACCATTAGTGAAAAAAAAGTATGAGCGGTGCAGAAATTTATTTAAAATGTTCATCACTTAGGTCGAAGAGCACCAAAAAAAATAAGGCCACAAACAAATCGTTCCATTTTAAAATAAGAGGTAAAATAAATAGTTTTTCGAGTAAGGTATAGGACCTACCTTTGAAGATGATGAAAAACAAGGCCAGCTAATCGCCGATTAGAAGAGCTCAGATTGTTTATTAAAAGTGTAATCCTACGGATCATCTCTTCCTGAAGCACAGTATCACACGAGTCTAAGGCCTGGAACGTAAATTCAATAGAAACTTTAGCAAAATAAAAAAGGTATTGACAAATCAAAGGCTACGGGAAGTTTTAGAAAGGATGAAATAGATAAAAAGATCAAAAGATTTATGGAGCAAAAAATAGCTA